CCACCACCGCCAGGAGGAAAAGGTGTGCCACCACCACCACCACCGCCGCCGCCTGGAGGGAAAGGTGCGCCCCCACCACCACCGCCGCCGCCAGGAGGCAAAGGTGCGCCACCGCCACCACCACCACCACCGCCGCCACCACCACCACCCATGGCGAAATCAGGGCCTGCACATCTCGGTCCGACACGTAACATTCCTATTGAGGCGATACGAAGCGTCGCAAAGAACTCTGCGTTTGAGGTTGGTGGTGCGATTGAGCTTCCCGAGGAGTACCGTAAAGGATTGATAAATGAGTTCAAGCGTCTGGAGACTAAGCCGGTGGTAGACAAGGCACAGCAGGAGGCCAAGGAACTGATTATGGACTCCAATCGTGAGCGAAACGTGGGAATTGTGCTGCAGTTCCTGCGGCTTCCTATTCAAACCATCGAGGCTAGCGTGCGCACCTTTGATGAGCTCACCCTCGGTGAAGAGCATATGTCCGGTCTTGCCAAAATCATCCCCACTAACGAAGACCTCCAGTTGATAGAACGCTGGATGAAGCGAAACCCTAAGGCAACGACCGCACAGCTCCACCAATTAAGCATCCCCGTCCGCTTCTTCATGATGACTCTGAAGATTGATTACTATGCCGAGAGGGTGCAGTGCTGGAATTTCAAGAATGAATTTAAGGGACGCATCGAGGATTTGGAGGTGAAGCTGCGCCGTGCACTAGAAGGCGTAACAGCTTCGATGGAGGCGCCACACCTCCCACGTATGCTGCAGTTCATTCTCGCAGTCAGCAACTTCCTGAATACCGGTAGCCGGTTCCAAGAGGCGAAGGGGTTCCCAATCTCGCAGCTGCCGCATATCATCGCTTTCCCGACAACGGATAATAAGCGTGTACTGCTCGACTATCTAATCGAGATCATCGATAAGCAGGATCCTGAGGTGCACCAATGCACAAAAGAGTTGTTGCCTGCGGTGGCGATGGCGTCAAACTTCGATGTGCCAGGTGTCGCTGGTGAAGTGAAGGCGCTGCGCACGCGAATGCAGAAGTGCGGTACGCTTGTTCGTGCCATTCCAGACGATAAGCCATGGACGACGAAACTTGGACGGTTTATTTACAACGGCCTCCCGATGTTAGAGCGCCTGGAACAACTGGTGAGCGACTTGAACGCGAAGATTGAGAAGATGCCGGCGTTTTTCTGCGAGAATCCGACATCTTTTTCGATGAACGATACACTGCGGTGCTTGACGACTTTCGCGAAGAAGTATGACGCGCGGAGGGAAGAAAACCAGCAGAAGGAGGTTGAGAAACAGGAGCGCCTGGCGAGAGCCGCGGCGAAAAAGGCAGAGAGTCTCGCTGCCGGCCACAGTGACGATTCGTCGAAGGGGCCCAACAATTCCCACGTGGGGCGACCGCCGCCGCAGCGGAGGGAACAACAGGCGCTGTCACACCTGTCGCCGAAGGGGTCGTTGCGGCAAAATTCCGGGGGCGGGCGAGCACCGCAGCCACCAGCATCGATTCACGACAAGGATACCAGGATCAACAACTCAGGCAACTTCAACGGGTCCACCGGTAGGAGCAACGGCCACGCCGTACCCGCAAGTGGCAATAGTACTGCTGGCCCAAACAACGGCAGAAGTGCACCGGGCTTGGCCAACATCGCCACCAGCAAGCCCATGCATAGTGCGGTAAACGGCCCCAAGGGCAACGGTGGTGCCTCTGCACCTCTTGTTGACCCGCTCCATTGAATCAAAGTTGAGTTTAACACTTCAATTTTTTTTTGTTTTGTTGTTTTTTTTTTTGTTCAATCATGTCTTTTATGTTTCAACGTGCCCGTGGGCCTGTCTAAGGCGTGAGTGCCACTCCTTCCGCTGCTATGCCGCGGGCGATGCCCTGAAGCAGCGAGACAGAAAGGGAAAAGGAAAAGCCGCACACCTGCGTGCGTGTGTGTGTGTGTGTGTGCGCCCAATTATATGTGCTTATATGCCTGTAATAATATGTGCGTGTGGGATCTTCGATTGGCACGCTATATACAGGAAAGAAGACGAACACAAGGAAGAAACAAAAAAAAAAAAA